CTTGTTGGGTGTGCACATGGCCAAATAAAAGCGAGGCACCTTCTAATTAGCTTCTGTGCTAATCGCATGTATGAGGACCTTAAACTCAGAATTTAAGTATCTCCAGGAGACCCTGCCTTCGAATATCAACACACGGGGATCAAAGGCTAAACAAGCATCATGCACGGGTTGAGGGAAACCAAACACCAAGAATCTCTAAATCCTAAAGTATGTGTTTCAATTAGAATTTCTACAGATACACGTCAAGCTTTATTGTTTCCTGGACTCCTGTTTTGTAAAGAATTGGCTTTTCATAGCCATACATTCTACCTTCATGTGTTCAGACAACCACGGGTGGGAAATATCCGAAACAAATATGTCTATGCTGCGATGCACAGATGTTTTATCTTGTCACTATTCTGTAAACAGTCTAGCATGATAACGTGTGTGTAGCATTTACACTGGCTAGATATTAGACTATGTAGAAACAGTGTAAGGAGTACAGAGGACTGTCTATCTGGAGATGTATTTTGTGTAATAGGTTGATCATTCTTGAACTTTGGTGCCTCAGGAACCAGTCCCCTGCAGACAACCAGAGGCGACTACACTCCCCTTACCTCTTTGATGCACGATTAATAAAAACCCAGGGTCAGAAACTGGGGTTCAGTCTGAAGATCTGGAAAAGCAAAATAGTCACTGGCTCTTACCTCGACCTAGTCTGAAAGGGCGATCCTGCCTCTCGGAATCTCAGAATGAGACTGTGTCTGAGAGCTGTCTTCCCCAATTTTATATTCCTCTCTAGGGCTGGAATTAAAGGCGTGCAGCACTGGGATTAAAGGTGTGTGTTGCCATAACCTGGTCTGTAAGGCTGACCAGTGGGGCTGTTTTACTCTCAGATCTTCAGGCAGTCTTTATTTATTAAAATACCACTGAAATGCCCTACACCTCTTCACTCAGTGCTGTGGATGACACCTTGAGGCTTCTGATGAGTCTGCCTGGAGCAGTTCTGTCTGGGTCATGTGTTTGGAATTCGCTTACCGAGTCACTTCTCAGAAATAAACCTTGTGCTCCTCCCTGGACCAGAAGACAAAGCTGCTACAATGTTAGCTGTCCTGACAGCTACCCACTTGCTGCCCAGGTACACCTGGGTCCGCAGAAACCTGCCCCATCGCTGCTTCCCCAGGGTCACATTGACTGAAAGCCGTATCCCAAACATCCCCACTCCCCCACACAGACACATTAACTCTACCCTTCCCTGGCCACAAATGATCACCTAGGACATTTTCACCCTAGAGCTGGGACTGAGTGTCTGATCAAAACCGTGTTGTCTCTTTCATAACATGGGCTTGGAGTCACTAGGAATGTAAGCCCTGGTCCAGCCCACACCCAACCACCACTGTAGACTCATAAGTAAATCAGTTCACGGTAATGGTCCAGAGGGAGAGATGACTTGTAAGAGAATTCCAGCTCACTCTCTCTGTGTCGGCAGGACTTTCTAGAAACTTTGTTCAGTTCTAAAGGATCATTCTTCATCGAAGTTGGGAGGTCTTGGCCTCCTCATTTGTCCATGTAGTGGTGCTGAGGAAGAGGTGACCATAACCCCACCCCCAGCTATAGACAAGGATCTAAAGGACGAAACACACAGCTGTCGCCAGGTCTTGAGATGCTGAGGATACTACAACACCAAGCAGAATCTCAGTGACATCAGCAGCCATGATCGCTAGGTCTAAGTTTTTATCTGGTACCCTCAAGGTGGCGGGAACCTCCTCACTACCCCCTCTCTGCATTCATGTTGGTAGTCAGCAGCCAGTTCAGGCTCAGGGTAGACTGACAGCTGCTCGCAATTTTCTTTCTTTCTTTTTTTTTTTTTTGTATGCTCCCATTCCTCTCCCACCTGTAAAGCCTGGCACAGTGCTAAGCACAGAGTGGAGTGGAGAACTGGCAATCCGCCCAGAGAGTCACTTCTCTGAAATAACTCCTGTCCCCTTCCCTGGACCAGAAGGCAAAGCTGACAATGACCGTATGTCAAATGGTCGGTCAGTTTAGCAATAGATGAGAATGCTGTTTGTTAAAGCAAGCTTCGCTTCTGGGAAACATAAAATTTATTTTAATAAAAATGCCTCTATGGCCATTTTAGACAAAGCTTTTACCATTTGTCCCATGCTGAGGTCAGGGCTTGGTAAAGCACAGGTCGTTCACCCAGCATCACCCCAGTCATGATCTCTTGAGGTAAAACAGCAGGTGCTGGTGCGTAGGGTCTACTGGTCCCTAGTATCACCCCGGGGGAGCAAGCGGAGTCCCCAAGGTTTAAGTGTGGAGGCTCCCACTCCATCATCCCATCCTACAACCTAAGTCCACCTGAAGTCTGAGTCGCATTTGGCCTACAGGACCGTGTGCTTAAACTTGTGCAAAGTGATAGGGGTAAGCTGTTGTTCATTGCAATCCTAATGAGGACAGCAAAAGGCTACAAACAACTTCAGTGACCTCCGGGGAGTTAAAAATGCAGCTTGTAAGACACAGAGACAAGGGACAGAATGGTGTGCCCTGTAAGCGTGGAAGTAGTGGGCACCCATCAAACAGCCCCCCCCGGAGAGCAGCTGTAACAAAAGACCAGAGAAGGAAGGGGCTGCAGAAAGGAGAGAGGTGAGGGACACTTTGCCTAACAGGCTCTTAAACCACAGAAGGAGGTAAACTGTGTGTCACCTACTACTTAAAAAAAATCAGTAGCAACACAATATTCTATCCATCTAGATGATGTCAGAACTTACATTTATGAAGGAGATGTATAAAGACCAATAAACCATCTGCTGTCAGTACTTAGGTATCCTACTTTGAAATTACAAGGTTTCTTTCTTGCTGGAGATGTAGCTCAGCAGTACAGCTGCTTGCCTAGAGTGCAGAAGGCCCTGCATCCAATCCACAGCACTGCTAAGTAAGTTATTTATACTCAAAATTTCAACAGTTCATGGAAACATTTAACCAAAAGTAAACAAAAAATCCACTATAATTGTCTTTGTGCCCATATCATAACCAGGACAGCTAAGTAGAGGGAAGACAGAGAAATTGCTCCTGAGAAACTATAACTGAATCCATTCCTAAGCCTGCACCTAGCCTTCTCAGGGAGTCTCTGAACTTCCTTGGTGATGGTGTGGAGGTTCTGCAGATGGAAGCAGAAAACAGGTTCCAGCCTATTTTAAGCAACTATCATTTTTATGTTGAGGAGATAAAGTGAATATCCAGACAGGGTATTCAGCCCCTGTCAACTCAGAGAAATTAAGAATGAGCTCCCCCTCACCTCCACGGGAAGGCCGACTTGCCTGAGATTGCTGCCTCAATGCCTCCCAAGGCAGCAGTACTATGATCTCAGGACTTTTGATGGAAGAAGCACGAACAATAAGACACAGCTGTCCAGAACCCGTGGTCCATGGGTTTGAAGCTAAGCACACTTGATAGAGGTTGATGGGTTGCATGGAGGGCTATTTACTGATATTCTGGGTCTTGGCTTGCTCCTCTGGCGCGAGAGGAGAAAAATAATGAGTATCCTTTACCTGGCCTGGGACAAAAGTGTCTGAGTATGTGGGATTTTTTTTCTCTTCACATCTTGGATTATGTGCGCGAAGATGAAGAGACACCTTGAAGGCAAGATCTAAGTATAGACACGAGATCCACTTGTTTGACCTGCATCTCCCGCACACTATCTGGCAGGACGTTTTGAGTAATCTTTTGTATGAAGCAAAATTTCCTGAGTGGAATTTTACATTTGTGGCATCGTGCAAATGTAACTCATAAAGTTTCAGCTTTGGGATTCATCTTTGGTGATGCTTAAGTTCCTGAGAGAAATATGGGATACCATATTTTTTTTAAAAGAACGAAAGAGAAAACCCATGACGTGCACACACACCTAAGTGAACCACACAGACTACAGTAGCCCAGAACCACATGACATGGCATCTTTCCTGAGTCCACTGGGCTCCAGGGTAAGGCTGTCTGCACCAAGAATCCTACCTCTGTGCCAACTTCTGATGAGATTTTACCCAAGTCACTTCTCTATGTCTCAGCTTCCTAACCTTCTAAACAAGCTAGCAATAATGGTTCCTCCCTGTGTGGTTGTAAAAGGGATGGAGGCTGGGTCTCGGGTCTGCAAGTGCTTTGGCCAGTGGAAGCTCTCATCCCCCAGGACAAACATCCGCTAGGTCCTGATAGGCACAGGACGGCTAGGGAGAGAGTCAACCTCTCTGTTCTCCTCCCTTTCAAATCATGCTCTGGTCAAGTCCCCGTTTCCTTGCTTAGAAACACCCGTTAAGAACTTCACAGGCACACTCAATAGAAAAAAAATCAACCTGGTCACCCCAGAAAAGCCCTACCTGGAATGATTTAAAAAACAAAAACAAAGCAAACAGACGGCGACGATGCCTGTGAGAGGCTGGCATGATGTCCTAAATGCACATGGACGGCAAAAGGACAAGTTGGAGACTGTTTTTATCTCCAGCATTCCACGTGAGGTTGGAGCAGAGCAAAGGCTGCTGCTGAATCTAAGTCAACTTTAAAGACGAGATAAAACCGCAAACATGAGGTGGTCCCCCCACCACCGCAGGTAAAAGTCAGAGCAAAAGAAGCAAGCCCCACCCTCTCAGCACACTTTCAAAGGAGGTCACAGACCTCTGAAACTGGGTTGGCAGAAGTTACGGTAAAAGGTCACTACTTTGATGTTAAATAACCAGAAAAAAAAAAAAAAAAAGATAAATTGAACCCAAAGGACAGAGAAGCCAGTTTCCAGAAAGACTTTCTTTCCCAAAGTCAATCAACACAATGAAAATGCCCTTTGCCAATTGTTCAGGCTAGCACAATTCAGGAAGATAGATAGAGATAGATAGATAGATAGATAGATAGATAGATAGATAGATGATAGATAGATAGATAGATAGATAGATAGATAGATAGATAGAAGATAGAAGATAGATAAAATCATGGCTAGTGACAATTTGCCAGATTGTATTCATACATAGGGGATGGGGACTTACATAGAGCACTCCAAGGATAAATTAAGCAATGGGTTCTACCTCTAGGGACTTATCCCAAGGCGATATTCACGAGGAGATGCAAAGATTCAGCTTCAATGATGTTCTTTATCACAGTGCTGACAATAAAGAAGAAAACAATGTCTCATCGACCAAATAGATCAAATAAGATTTGCAGCATGTTTTAAAGTGTGGGGCTCAGCGTGTGTGCAGTGACACGCGTGGGCATGTGTGGAGGCCAGAGGGTGTCCTCTGGTGTCTTCCTCAACCATTCCGCTACCTTTTTATTCCACCTCCAATTCTGAGTCAGGGTTTCTCACTGAACCTGGAACTCTTCAGTTGCCTAGACCGGCTGGCCTGTGAGCTCCCAGGCCCTGCCTCTCTGTCTCCCTGGTGCTGGAGTCATTGACGCTGGCTGAAACACCAGCTTTCGCATGGGTGCTGGATAACTAAACGCAGTTCCTTGTCCTTGCACTGTGAGCTCTCTCTCTCTACCCACTGAGCCATATCCCCAACCCCCAAAGCTCTAATATAAAGAAATCCATTGCTATGAAAAGTTGCCGGAAAGTAAAGTAGGTTAATAAAATATAAGTAGTATGGGTTTATTTCTTAAAAATGCAGACATCAGAAAGCAAGATACTCACTAGCGGTACAGGTTAAATCTCCGGTATCTGAAATGTTTGGGACCAGAATAGTTTGAAATATTTACACAGTCTTCAGCCATTGAGTCTTCATAATCCACAACACTGAAATCTCTGAATCCAGACTGAAACAGTCAGACCAGATTTTTCAGACAAAGGGTGCGCAACGGCTCACTCACGTGTTCCTCTTGCAAGTACGTGTCGTTCTTCTCTATCTTTTATTGTCTGTATATACTTACCTGTGTAACCATGAACAAGTACTGTCTGCCAGTTTTTGAAAGGCAACTTCTAGAAATAGCCCTTCACCATAAGGGCTTCCTTGATAACGGTAGTCAAGTTTGTCTTCTAATTTGACTGTCAGGCTTCTGCCAGTAAAGTCTGTGGGCCCAGACTGTTACGTGCATGTGTGGTTGAGAATGACTTTATGAATCTTTCAAAAATGACTTACGCTACTAAAAGGAGCATGATAATCTCAGAAAGTATTCCCCAACCTTCTGGACAATTCTCATTTCCTCGTTTCCCAACAGATCATCATGTTTATAGTGAACCCGGAGGATTGGCCCCGAACACACAGCCCACAGGAGGCCAGTTCGTAAATGCAGGCACGTACCAAACACTTTAGTCCTTGACTGTCTTCACTTTTGGGAGAATTCCTCCCCACATGCTAGCAATCCAAAAGCTCACCAACACAGCACAAAACAAACATCATCCACAAAATAATTTGGGATCTGTGAACGTCAATCAAACTGAAGACAGTACACTTCATTTTGTTTCCCCCTCCCTCCCTTTGTTTTCTTATTTCCTGCCTTTATTCTTTCTGGCTCTGCCCCCATTTTTGTTGCTGCTATAGTGATCAGAGATATAACTGGTGAGATACAAGGTTAAGGCGTCCAGGAAGAAATCAGGGCAAAGTTGACACTCCTCACTGAGAGTACACACACATTCTTCTCTATCGCCATATACACCACTTCCCAACAGAGAGCTCCAGAGTGAGACTCTGTCTCCACAGCGAAACAAATAGGAAGGAGTGCACATGGTTTTAAGGCTGTGTTTTAAACCTCGTTGAGGGAAGTGTGCGCAAGTGTTGCCTATAGAGTACATAATGACTCCATAGGGAACCAGCAGCTCCCGGGGATAACTACCCAGGGCCCTCAACAAACTCTCGAGTGAAAGCGCGCCCCTCTAAACGGTGGCTACTAAGGCGAAGTGATGCCTCAGTTCTCATGTCCACAGCCGCGTTTCAAACAACCTCACGAATTGCCCTTCCCCTTACAACCATCGCCACTGATGCAAAGCCAAGACTATGACAACATAAAAGTAGCAAGGTGTAAGTGGCGTGGACGGGTAAGGGGTGTGCACATAAGCCCTAGATGCACTTACACCACCACACAGTATCCATGTATTTCACAGTGAATCTCCCACATAATGGAACCTAATCACAGGCCATCTTAGCACGCTCACGCACGCATCTTTATGGTAAGTGTGCCCACAAAGACGCAGAAATATCAAGAAACCCCACGGCTCCTTTCAGTGAACAGAACAATGTTATCTTTACTCTGGTTCCATTTGTCCCTCCCAACTAGCTCATCAGCGTCTAAGTAAACATCTCTACTCACCCCAAAAAGAAGGAAAAATACTGAGACAGAAAACCCTAAAGCGAAGCGAGCCATCTTACCTCGGGTGTGGTTCATGGTTCGGGGCACAAGGAACTCTGAAGATCACCCAGCAGTGGTTCTTCCCGGGATGAAGTCTGCTGACCTGATGCTGGCTATTCAAAACAAAACTCCCTTTTTGCGGTCAGTCCTGGACCGCGTTACTTGTTTCTTTCCTTCTAAGAGAGCACTGGGCCGGGTCTGGGGGACAGCACAGGAGTGACAGCTCACATCTTGTCAGACGACCCAGAGAAAGTGGGCTCCTGATGACGCCTGTGTCAGAACCCTCTTGGGGCTTTAATCCTGCCGTGACACATCTGGGGGAACCATGAACAGGAAACGCAGAGCTAGGCAGCAAGCCAGAAGCATTCAGCAAACGTGCCAAGCCCTTATGAAATGTTAGTACCATGACTGCACATAAGTCTCCCACGTTTCACAAGGCAGGCTTTCTCTCCCTGTCTAACCTCACATTAAATCTAAATGAGGCCACTACCTACACCCAGTCTAGAGCTACAGACCTGCTCTGAGTTCTTCACAGACAGAGCCTAGCCTGGGATCTCATCCCATCCCCCTACACACACACACACACACACACACACACACACACACACACACACACACAGGCTGCAGAGCAATGTCCACTAAGACAAGTCCCCAGGCAATATCATAAGACTTCATTCAGTTCGACAGAGGGATGGGACCCAGAGCATCACACTTGCCAGCCTGGTGCATCCTAAGAGGGAGGATAGGGCAGGGTTTTCTCACATACTGCCCCTCCTGGGCCCTGCACTCAAGAGAATGCTGTCAGTTTCACGAGAGCCTGGCCTGTCACCATGCTAATTTTGACTTTGTCAGCACAGCAAGCAAGTCCGCTAACTGCCTACTCCAGGACTGAGAAGCCCTGTCAACAGGCCTTGATGGGCATCCTGGTCACTGTCATTACCCTTTCCTAGATATCTTTATGCAACTCCGAATGACTGTCACACTCACTGGAGAAGACAGTGGCTGACCTTTGTTATTGATGTGAGTGCCTGAACCCCTTCGCTGCCGCTTTCCTTCCATAGGACCCACACACAGAGTCTCTCCCCTCCTCTTTTTCCATCTCTTCATCCAGTATTTTCCACTCTTCCCTGGAGAACAGCCCCTTGGACACGCTGGGGTGATGCCGCCTCTTTAGACTTTGCCTTCTCTCTGCAAGGGTTTTGCAGGGATCTGGGTGAGGCTTTCTTCTGGGAAATGGTTGTCAACCCATTTCAAAGATGAGCCTGCTATATTAAGTTCCTTTCCCAAGATGCCTTAGCCGGGCAGCAGTGGAGCCCCATCTGCTGTAGTTCTTTGAGTTTTAACCGTGATCCAGACGAATGGTTTGGGAACAGGGTTTGTCCGGTCAGGAACTGTGCGGTTTCCTAATAGTCTACCTCACCCTTCTGGGTGCCCTTTCCTGGAAGGCCTTGTGCCAGGCAGCCACCAGGCAGCTGTGATGAGCTGGTAATTAACAAAAGCTAAAGATCCAGGTAGGCACAGACAGGAAAGACCGCAACCCTGAGAGACTGCCGTGGGATGGGAGGGCTAGGCAATCTTGGCATGGTCTTGTGCCAATTTCAAGGCTCGCTACAATGGGGAGACAAGTTGGGGCCACACGGTGAATGCATGGACGCTAAGACCTAGCCTTGCAAGGCAGCTAAAGGTGGCTTTCCACCCTTGCTCTAGTGTGGAGCGGATTTGGGAAGGACTGACCTGTTCCAACACTGGGTTCAGCCACAGGTCTGAAGGAAGGAGGCCCAAGGACAGACTCCCAGCAGGTTACTATGTCTTGGTGTATGCCTTCAGGGCTAGTCCAGCCAAGGGAAATAAGTCTAGTTCTGTGCAATAGTGGAAAGCTTACCCTGAAGACAGCCACTATTGGTGCCCCCCCTTTTTTTCAGAATGTCATGTATGCTTATAATGTATTCTGATAAATACAGTTTTTCTTCCTTTGTCAAGCCTTCCTGAGACAAGCACAGCTCTAATCTCGAGGATGGAGTCCACACACTCAGGGAGGACCTTCCAGGGAGGACAGAGAAAATACCCTTCACCAATCTGACCCAGATTATCTCCAGACTTTAAGAGACGGAGCTGGTGCATCTTTCTGGCATTTTTAGCTGAAGCAGGTGAACCAGGGTTTCAGTGATCTGAACCCCGACTGTCCTGAGAGCCACAGCAGAGAGCAGTGAGAGAGGAAGGGCAAAAGGGGGCAGACTGTGGAGAAGGAGCCCTCCCTGCCTTTCCTCCTTGCCCATTCCAGTCACAGGCTCCTCCCTGGCATCTGCTTCTCTCTCCTCCACCCTTCCTTCTCCTCCCTTCCTCCAGGCCCCTTTCTCTCCTCCAGTCCTTTCTCTATATTCTTCCTTACCCTCCATGTCCTTTCACTTCTGTTCCCTCCTCCTCTCTCGTTTTCTCCCCCTGCTTCCTCACCCCACCCCAGTCCTTTCTCTCTCCTGTTTCTCTTCCTTTTTTTTCCCTCCCTCTTTTGGTTTTCTTCCTACAAAGATACAAAGTAGGTAGGGAGGCCGAGTGGACCAGAAACCATCAAACAAAGAAGTTGCCTCCTGGGGGGTGGGGGTTGCAGCCTGCTGATGTGCTTACAGTCAAGCTAAAACATTCAGAAACGCCACTGACTTACAGGGTGAGTTAGCTTCATTCCAGAGATGCTTCTGACTTCATAGGGTAGGCAAAGCAGAGAGTGGGGTGTAGAAGGACACAGAAGGGAGAAAAAAGCAGGAGGAAGAGAAGGAGGATATGAGGAAGAAGAGGAGGAAGAGGAGGACGGGAAGAGGAGAGAGGAAGAGGAAGAGGAGGAAGAAAAAGAGAGGAATAAGGAGGAAAGGAGAAGAGAAGAAGAAGAAGAAGAAGAAGAAGAAGAAGAAGAAGAAGAAGAAGAAGAAGAAGAAGAAGAAGAAGAAGAAGAAGAAGAATCAGGACACTAAGCCACCCAAGCCACTAAGCATTATCCCAAGGTAGAGACTGTTACCCACATTTCTCCCTCTAGCCAGTTCAGCCTCATCTTATTGAACAGCCAAGAGGAGAGGGTCCATATGAAGGAAGTTTCTGGTCATCATATTTTACTGCAGATTCTTCTCCCACACTGAACAAGGAGTGACGTATTAGGAATATAGACCGTCAGTTAGCAGATAGGAAACCCACACATACACTCCTGTCTGGACTCTCTCAGCTGCCTAGTCACCCCCAGAGTTTAGGGGAAACAAACAGTCATAGATGCCAATAAAAAGTCAACACCAGAAGCGAATGGAAAATTTCCCGGACTCCGGGTTTCTATCCGAGTGCTAGAGTCCATGACACTCTGAGCCAGCTCTAAAGAATTTAGTGTTAAAGGTGTCAGACAGCGTGGTTATAACACAGCGTCACTGGAAAACGTGTCCTTGGACTCTAGATTGTCTGTGTTCATAAATAACTCCCAGAGTTCCTTGGGAAAATGAGCAACTCAGAAGTGGTGTGCATTTATAAATATGTTTATTGAACTAAAATCCATGTATTTCCTCCATGAGAAAGGGGGCTGAAGAAGCACAGACAGTATGATGTGCATGATGATGCGTGAACATATGTTTACATGCGTGTGCAACTCTGTTGCCAGGAGTCTAACCTTGGATCTATGGGTCATCTAGAAAAAACAATAGGTTTCTCTTTCTCTGGTTCTGGAACTTAGCTGCTCTCTACAGTGCCTTCCAGTGACATTTTCTGTTGGTTTAAACTTTGTCCTCCTACGCAGGGCCAGCTGCCGTGCCTTGCCCAATAGCTCTTGGCAACCTTTGTGGTCAGCCTGGGGGAGTTAGGCTTAACTGCTTGAAGGCAGACTTTACTCTTGTTCTAGGCAATGGCCCAAACAAGTCAGACCATTCTGTGCCTCCCCGAGTCTACCAGACCCCTGAGGAGAATGTGTATCCTTCATCCTCTGTACCTATAACTAATAACTTTCCCTCTCTTGAGCTCCTAGAATGTTTGAAGCCCAGATCTTTGAAGGAGCAGGGACATTTTCAAGTAAATTTTCACTGGGCTTGTCTTCTGGCGCTCACAGAAGACAGGCTGCCAAGAGAAATCATGTCTCGACCAAGAACTAGGCAAGTAGAATGAAACTCATTCAACCTTTTGTTCCATGAGGCTTTCCTGGCAGAGATTAAACAGGAGTTAGTGAAACAGGGCTTCTTGAAACTAGTTTGCAAGTCTTGTGAGTAAGGTATACAAGGTGTCTAGTAGGGCTGGATACAAAAGATGTCCATAAATGGGTCACTTGGGAGAGTGGGGTCTAGCAACAGGCTCCAAGCTCTACAATTGATCCCTTCCTGGCTCTTACGTGCGCGGCAGACACTCTCCTCCTAGGAAAGAAGCCGCTGAGCGGGACATACATGCTCAGGGCACCCTTCAGTTGTCCAGAGCCAAGGGACACAGAAAGGGAATAAGTGAGAAGAGACATTTTCTCAAAGTGCTATGGTTTGATGTAATTAGTCTCTAAAGGTGCCTGCATCAGAAGCCTGGTTGCCCCAGGGTAGCAATTTAAAGAAGTTGGGGGGGGGGGGGGGGGGCAGGGAGTGACAGGATCTTTAAGAGGTGGAATTTAATGCAAGGTGGTTGAGTCATCATCCTCAAAACAAAGTGATGCTTTTAGTTCCCAAATGAGAGTTATTAGGAAAGAGCAAATCTGGCCCCTCCCGTCCCGGACTTCCTTTCTCCTCCTTGTGAGTTCTCCCTCACACAGGTGCAACCACCATGATGATGTCACCCATCGTGCGACACAATCAAGGGCCCGACAACCGAGTCAGAGTCAAGCCGTTGGAATCGGGAAGCCTCCAGAGAGTGACGTCTTTTGTCTCCAAGTGCCCAGCCTCCGGCATTCTGTTACAGCAACAGGAAAAAGATGTTTGCAGAGTTGTTAAGGTTGAAGTTCAATTTAAAGAAGCCTGACGGTAGAGTACCGAGGCAACGGAGGAAGATGGGATAGTTTCTCAGAGCAGAAGCAAAGGAGGGAGACGGGGAGGACAGCACTGGTTCTTACAGCACACAGGCAGCCCTGCCAAGCCTAGTGCACTGTGTGGAACCGGGTGCATAACGGCAAAGTCACTGAACGGTCACATCCAAGTCCCTGAGTAATCAGAATTCCAAAAGGATGGAGTCATAGGCCAGACGTAACACTCTGAAATCAGTGCAGACAAATCTAAAACCCACCTTACTTTTTGGGCAGGGCAAGGCACACATCTACAAAGGCACGGTAGGAAAGAAAACCAACCAAATGTCTGGGCTGCCATTGACTGGTATGACTCCTGTATAGACGGAGACTGTATTCAGCTGCCTTGATACACTTATAATAATTAATTAACAGGAGAGGTGGTGGTCATAAAGGCTGTCTCCCAAGGCAGTGTTTTTTAAGCACCCTCCCATCTCCCATTAGAGGAAACACTGTCAAGGGCTGCTCATAGCCAGAGAGGAC